CTGCTTCTGTTAATATGACAGGCTCTGTCTTCCATAATAATATGTGGACTAAGAGTCTCTTTATCCCTAATCATAGGCCTAGTGTCATAGGCAGACCTATTTCTAGTTTTCTAGCTTTGGTTCAGAGAATAAGTTTGGACACTGCTATCAGGTTCCAATCTTTTCCAAGGCTTTTGAGGCCTAGAACACATTGGAGATGATGAAGAGAAATAAATACACAACAGTTTCAGTGTTCAATGATGACATATGGGTGCAGACTGAGAATTGTGGGATTTTGAGTGTGTGTTCCTTGATGGATGAGGCAGCCAAAAGGGACTAGGGTATCTAATGAATTTCCCTAAAAGTCAATCTGGAGAATTTCTGGCTACTCAAGTAAAGCTAAGGAGTACCAAAAACTAAGCTTCTTAAATAGTCTTTCAGGATGAAAATGGTGGGGATAGGGTGTTAAGAAGGCAGGCATAGATCTTTTATCTGGTGATTCTCTCAGAACAGAGGTGGGAGCAGACAATTCTGAAGGAAGAGGAAGGTAAGGTGAGGGAGGAGGGTAAAGTGAGGAAGAGGATGGGTTCTGTCAGGTTAAGGACAACAAAGTTCTCCAGAGTGGGGGTCCAAGGAGAGGAGGGGAAGAAGAGGTGTGTTTCTTATAGGCTCCAGCTTTGTTTTGCTTGCGAAGCCTTCCCTTTTGCCTACTTTTATAGAGTACGTTTGGGATTCGGCTCTGTTCATCAGCTGAGATATCTGTCATCTTCCCTGGTTAAAACCAAAGGGATAGAAAAAACCAATAGAATTAGTAGGACATTGTTTTAAAAATAAAATAGCTCTGCTGCTTCCAAGAATGACTCCGCAACATGGGTAGGATTGGCAACCCTAATCCTATCTGTATTTGGTACACCTCTTCTTGAAATTTAGAACGACAAAGTTAGGAGATGATGCCATTCCAGTACAGAATTTGCCAATGTGTAAGTTTCTAATCTATGAAGTGAGAAAATAATTTTTTTTGGGGGGGGAAGCCATTGTTCTTCCCTTCACTAGAGGAAGAAGAGAGAGAATTGTCCTTAATTATGAAAGGAATTGATAGGTGATGATTTGCTATAATCAGCTTGTGGCAGGTGTGAACCCATCCATGGTCTATCAGTCAGAAATGGACTAGAGCTGGTGTGTTTTACTTAACTACCAAGTTCTGGGTATTGGACTCTTGGAAAACATTGCCTATGCATATGAGTAAGGTCTTGACCATCAGAATGTTTTTAAAGAGAGTAGAAGCCAAATTTGATTTTCTAAATTCAAATTCCACACCAGTCACAGGAGAAAAACTTTTAAGAGAACTGTTTTTAATGTGTTTCTTGTAGGGCTTGTTGGGATATGTCTAAGACCTAGTTCCTGTCCCTAGTAGATTAAGTCTAGCCGAGGAGACATTAGGGAAACATAAATGGCACTATGGAATCAAATGTTAATTTATTATTTTTTTGTGAGAAAGATTGGTCCTGAGCTAACATCTGTGCCCATCTTCCTTTATTTTGTGTGTGGGATGCCACCACAGCATGGCCTGATGAGTGGTGTGTGGGTCCACGCCTGGGATCAAAACTGGTACACTCCAGGCCGCCAAAGTGGAGTATGCAAACTTAACCACTACACCACCAAGCCAGCCCCTCAGATGTTAAATTTTTGTGCCAGCTGTGTTCATAGAAGGGCACTAGTTAGTGTGAGCTGGAATGATTAATTAGTGAAAACTTTCTGGAGGAGGGCATCCTGCACTGAACTTTACCGCGTGGGAGTACGATTGGGATCTCAGGAACCGAGGAGATGGCAGAGCTATGAAGGTGGCAGTGAGCTGAGTGCATTGAACGGACTGTAAGGAAAGACACAGGCAAGCCTGACTGGAGTGCAGGGTCTATGATGGGAAATAAGGTTGGGTGATGTTTCAGAGAACCTTTAAAATCTGACCATGCTCATCAGGGAAATGCAAATTAAAACCACATTGAGGGCCCAGCCCGGTGGCACAGCGGTTAAGTGCACACGTTCTGCTTGGGCAGCCCGGGGTTCACCGGTTTGGATCCCAGGTGCAGGCATGGCACCTCTTGGCAAGCCATGCTGTGGTAGGCGTCCCACATATAAAGTAGAGGAAGATGGGCACGGATGTTAGCTCAGGGCCAATCTTCCTCAGCAAAAAGGGGAGGACTGGCAGCAGATGATAGCTCAGGGCTAATCTTCCTCAAAAAACAACCCACATTGAGATACCATTACATATCCACTAACATGGCAAAAATTAAAAATATAATGTTAAGTATTGGCAAGAATGCAGAACAACCAGAATTTCTTACTTTGCAGGTGAGTATACGTAAATTCTTTCAACCCCCTTGAGAACTGTTTAGATAAAAATGTTCTTAGCACCTTTGTTCATAATAACCTCAAACTGGAAACAACTCATGTGTCCATCAATAGGAGAACAGATAAATTGTAATATATTTACACAGTGGAATACTGCACAGCAATAAAGAACAAATTACTCATACCCACAGCACCATGACTGAATCTCACAGACATTATATCAGCAAAGTAAGCCAGACACGAAAGAGAATATACTGTATTATTCCATTTACGTGAAGTTAAAGAACAGGCAAAACTAATCAATGATTATGTAAGTCAAAATGCCGCTTACCTTGGAGGAGGTGTTGGTTATTGACTGCAAAGGGGCCATGGAACCGCTGGAGCCCTGGAAATGTTGTCCATATTGATCTGAGTGGTAGTTGCATGGGTGTGTATGTGTGTAAAAAATTGAATTGAGCTGTATACTTAAGATTAGTGCACTTTACATACTTAATGTACGTTATGCCTAAGAAAAATAAATGAAGTCCTAGAGTTTGGATTGGTTGTGGGAGGTAATAGGGAAGCGTATTGAATTTTGAAGAGGGAAGTGACTTGAAGAAAGTGGTACTTCTAAAATTATTCATCCTGTAGTGATGTGGAGAATGGAACAGTGTTCAGATCAGCTGTTATGTCTAGGTCAGCTATAGTGCTAGATGCTATAGAAGACACAAAATATCCATGACCTGGTCCTTAGCCTTAAGAAATTTATGATCTTTTGGAGGAGACAAGTTATATGAAACCCAGAAAGTTACGGTGAATGATAAATGCTTAATTCGTAGTGTTATGGTAACAGCCGTGAAGTCAGTTCTGCGTTCAAATCCTAACTCTGCCGTTTATTGGCTTTGTGACTTCAGTCAAGCTATTTATTTCCCTGAATGTTGATTTCCTTATCTGTAAAATGAGGACAATATCTACCACTTTTGTTGAGAGGATTAAGAGAGACGGTGTTCAGAGCTTATAGTGCAGCACAGAAGACATTCAGCAAATGTTCCCTTCTTTGAACCCTGTATCCATGGAGCAAAAAAAAGTTTGGGTTTTTTTGTGACAGTGTGTAACCTCGGTTCAGATCGTGGTTCTGCCACTTACTGGCTGTGTGACCTTAAGTAGGTTATTTGATTTCTTTGAGTCTTGATCTCTCTTGAGAAAAAAAAAAAGTAGGGGAAATTTTACCTTGAGAGAGTTTATGAAAATTAAGTGAACCTAGCAGATATATAGTATCTAGCACAAAATAGTCACACTTAATATAGAATCCATTTCTCTTGACTGTAATGGAGTATACAAATGTGTGGTACAAATAACGCAGGTAATAAGTGATGAAATTGGATCAAGGTGGTGACTGGGGGGTAAGAGAAAGAAGAGGCAGATCATTGTGTACTGTTTTTTAAAAGATATAGTAAATTTGATATAGAAGAGGAAGTACTTTATATACTCTGATCTTATACAAGGTATGTCTCTGTACTTCTATTTTTTTTTATTGAGTTATTGATAGGTTACAATCTTGTGAAATTTCAATTGTACATTAATGTTTGTCAGTCATGTTGTAGCTGCACCACTTCACCCTTTGTGCCCACCCCCCACCCCACCTTTCCCCTGGTATCCACTAAACTGTTCTTGGTCCATAGTTTTAAATTCCTCATATGAGTGGAGTCATACACAGATTATCTTTCTCTCACTGGCTTATTTCACTTAACATAATTCTCTCAAGGTCCATCCATGTTATTGCAAATGGAATGATTTTGTTCTGTTTTGCAGCTGAGTAGTATTCCATTGTATATATGTACCACATCTTCTTTATCCATTCGTCTGTTGATGGGCACTTAGGTTGCTTCCACGTCTTGGCTATTGTAAACAGTGCTGCAATAAACATTGGGGTGCACAGGACTTTTGGGATTGCTGACTTCAGGCTCTTTGGATAAATACCCAGTAGTGGGATGGCTGGATCGTATGGTAGTTCTATTTTTAGTTTTTTGAGGAATCTCCATTCTGTACTTCTATTTTTGTCTTTCTATAAGATGAAATAATATAAAGTATATCCTTGGATTGTAATGATGCTAACTTGAAGGTGTTGTGATATCAGTAGAAAATATTGTGTTCTCACAACCCCAAAAATGGTACTTTACGACTAAAAGTTATTCTTGTTCTAATAATACTTTCAACAGGCATTGTCATCCAAGCTCCAAATGAAAATCTAATGACTTTTCTATGAGTGGAGACCCCTGGCACAATCAAAGCAAAATCTAGAAGCATAAAGGGAAGGAAATCCATCTATGAAATACACGTTATTATTTGTTGCTTGAAGTGTAATCAGCAGAGCAGCACCCAGGTCTTGTTGTGTGTCAGTGGTGAGCAGTGTCTTGCTCAGGAAGTTTAATTTACAGGGCAAATACCAAGCACTAAATATTAACCTTTCAGAATTATATTGTTAAGAGTGTTTGTTTAAGAACTCGCAAATTGACTGATTACAGATCCTGGACACTAGCCTTCCAATTTTTGGAGCAATATTAGATTTCCTGTGAAATTTCTAGCTTGAATTTAGCCACTGATTTCTTATGTTTGCCAAGCTTGAGGAAAATGAAGAGGTAAAAAATAACGCCTCTCCCTAGCCCTCACTCATCTGTCCTTCTTTCTTGCAGATATTCCGAGTGGTGTGCATCTGTTTGGGTAATCCACCAGAGACATTTACCTGGGAGTATCGAGACAAAGATAAAAATTATCAGAAGATTGGTCCCATAACACCCTTGGAGTTTTACAGGAAACATGTCAAGCCACTCTTCAATATGGAAGATAAGGTTGGAGACTGGCACAGGCAGCCACTGGCTGTTTACTTTCAGATGCCTATGGACTACAGGGAAGGGTATAAGATTCCTGGGTTAACATGCATGAGCATCAAACTAGATGCTAAACAAACTTTTTTCCTCCTTCCTCTGAAATATTTTATGCACTGACTGAAGTTCGCCATATCAAGATCCCCAGTGCTCCTCTTTAGAGACCTGTCTAACTGTAGGCCAGCAGCTTAATTCCCACATGCTTCCCTGGTTTGGACCCAGAATCACTTTCAGGTGCAAAGACAGTAAAAGTTTTTTATTGTCGTTGAGTGTTTCTTACCATGGGTTCAGAGCACCCCTGTACTATGGACCCCTCTGGGGATTTTCTTGTGGAAGGGAGCAGTGTCCTATCCTAGTTTTTCCTGCTTTCTTCAGGTCTCCTCCACTTGCCTAGCAGGATGACCAGATACCCCTCCTTTATTGACATCTGGATCCTCTTATAAGCAAATGGCTTTGTTCTATAATTGGAATTCCAACTTCGTTGTGGTATTACAGGGTGTTGAGCCTGTCTTGTAACTTGAGAGCAAGGGTCTTGTACTTGCCTCACTCAGCGCATGGAGTTCTTCAGAATTAGTTTTGGGACAATTCTTGCCAGTAGGAAAAACAGATAGATGCAGCTCCCAAATGTGTCCCTTGCACTAATTAGGTACAAGGTCTGCTCTTACATGACTTTACCATGTTTTGTTTCTTTGTTATTTAACAGTATGTTTGTGATTCTTATTCTTATGGGCAGAGGTGATGAGCTTGATGCAAACATGAATTTAGAGGAGAGGTGTGTGTCTTGCTTGACATTCCTGGTTTTATGTTCTAATCAACATGTTCTTGATCTCAATAGATTTGTTTAGTGAATGACCCTCGGCCCCAGCACAAGTACAACAAACTTTATACAGTGGACTACTTAAGCAATATGGTTGGAGGGCGAAAAACTCTATATAATAACCAGCCCGTTGACTTCTTGAAAAAGATGGTTGCTGCCTCCATCAAAGATGGAGAGGTTTGTATTGTTTCTGCTTAGTTGGGGTTAAAACCTCTTCTTCCACTTTGGTATAATAGGAAGATAGGATTTATGTTGACTTTTTTTCTTGCTCTGTCCTGTATTTCTAGGCTGTGTGGTTTGGCTGTGATGTTGGAAAACACTTCTCTGGCAAGCTGGGCCTCAGTGACATGAATGTGTGAGTGTAAGAAATTTAAAATAGAAAGTCATTTGTGGGTTGTAGCTGTTGGAGTGTACTCTTGGTACAAAATGACCCAGCTTAGGTTTACCCAAAGATTAAGGCTGGCTTGAGGGTGGGTTTCTTTCTTTCCAACTTGTAGAGTTTGAGGACTCATAGCAGAAACTCCACAGACTTATATGCTCTAACCTGGGAAGTCAAGGTTATACTTCATAATTGAGTTGAAATTGTTGAGTGTTCCTAGAAAGCCATCCTATATGAGAAAGACACTTTTAAAAAGTCATTGATTACTGTGTAAATCTGCTCAGCACATTTGGAAATGTAATGAAAAGTTTTCCAGACCTTTTGTTTGCTGTTTGATCCTTCTTAACTACTTCTCTTAATTTGATGCCTCTTGTCTTTATGACAACTTGGGCTAATTTGCATACACACTTTAAAGCCTTCCTCCTGGTTGTTGATGACAGTGAAGGTTCATTTGTGAACTAAATCATATACAGAATTCCTTGACTATAAAATATACCACTTGAGCGTTATTTATAAGTAATTGTTACTTGTAGGAAGTGAGTAAATATCTTGACAGTTAACAATAAGAGAAAAGAAATCTGCTAAAAGAGAATTCATGAATTTTTTTTTAACTTTGGAAATATTTTCCAATATTTTTGACATCACTTATTTAAATTTCACAGTCAGCAATGGTCTAAATGAATTCAGAAACTGGGTGGTTCTACCAGCTCAAAAGAGACCATTTTTGAAAGAAGTTACTTCAGAACCTTTTTTTAAGGTTTTCTTGCCAAAATGACAGTGCAAAATCATCTTGTCAGCTTTTTGATTTGGAGAATTTATATTTAATCACTTAGTATTTTCCTTAGTACTCTTGTGACACATAGAGAGTGGAATCCCATTGAGAAACTAAATTCTACATGTACCATATTCTCTGGAGAGCTATAAGCCCAAATTTATTTGGAGCTATCAAGCCCCTTCAGTTTCTTTTGTGTTCCTTTTATAACCAGAAGCCAGTTTTCCCCCCATGATTGTATTCTCTTTATTCTGTACTATCATTCTTCTTACAGCTATGACCATGAGTTAGTGTTTGGTGTCTCCTTGAAGAACATGAATAAAGCTGAGAGGTTGACTTTTGGTGAGTCACTTATGACCCACGCCATGACCTTCACTGCTGTCTCAGAGAAGGTACGATCCTCAGCATGCCTGCTGCAGTGTTTGCACAGGTGGACCTGCATTCTCCTACAGACTCCTTATCCGGCAATCTTCATTCATAGTGTGTATGATTTCTGTTAAACCTAGCTTCCAAGCAAGACCTTGTGCCCACGTCACTTGGGGTTTGGCTGCCTACTCAGAGGGAATAAAAATAGGAACTTTTCACGAGGACCAGAATTTGAGTCAGGAGGGAGTAAAGAAGTAACTGCTTTTCTATCACTTTGAAAGTTCTTGTTGTGAAGAGAGGTCAGCAAGGGAACTTGGGAGAAGATAACTTCTGTTTAATGAGGAATTAAAATGTTCTCTGAAAGTGTTCATATCTTGATGACTTATGTTCAGACTTACCTTCCTTTCATTTGTCATTCAGATTGTTCTACAGTAAAATGTCAGTAACAGTAATTTGTGGACTCCTTTGCCCATTACAGGATTTATGCAGAGTTTCAGGAAATTGGGTGTAAAGTATTTTGAATTTCCTGTGAAATACTCTGAATGGTAATATCACTATTTCTAGGACACAGTGTTGGAAACAACTGAAATTTTATCTTTCACAAATAAGCCTCCCCATTTCTAGGCTGTAGAATGGATATTTTATTCCTGTGCTCAGGGATCATAATGAAGAAAAGACTTCAAACTACTTTAATTCTTTACCACCCCAAGCAAAAATGTTCTTTTTCTTGCCGGTCTAATTACTGGAAAGAAAGTCACAGAATGACCACCTTGACATTAGAAGCAAAACATTAGAAGGAACTGTTCACAAAATACTATAAATAATAAAGTAAAATAGTAAAGTAAATAAAATACTACTAAAATACCTAGGATAAAATACTAAGTTGTTCATAGTCATGTGTTTGGGCCTACTATAATGTAAAATTCAGTAGATTTATAACTAGAACTCCTTAAATTAAAGTTAAGCTTTTAAACTATTTAGAAGATTATTACAAACCACAAACCTTATAATTTCCAAGAGAGGTTTGGCTTTTTATCTTTTTCTGTCTCTGTTATAGAGTATTCCTCTTCTTCAGAACTAAAAATCATACGTATTCCAGGTCATTTTCTCTGGAACTTCCATTGTTTGGTTGGCATGGTTTATTAATGTGCCATTTTTTCCTGAAGGAAATGGAGCTACCTTCCATACTAGTAGCATAAAGCAGAATTTATATTATGATAACTGGAATTATATAGTGAGATTTTTCTCTTCCTTCCACTTTAAGTTTTTAACCACTAAAACTAGTTTGCACTGCATTTGAATGACTATGTAGAGATAAATGCTAGCAGCTATATTCTGGGATATTCTTTTTCGTTGCTGGTTTCTTGGAGTCCCTATGACAGAGATCCAGGTATTATTCTAGGTTTGTAGACAACGCAGAGAGCAGCCTGATCCAGGTCATGCAAGAATTCATTGGCAAAGGGAAAGAAGGGGAAACATTTTCTTACTTACAGTAATAAATGACCTTGGGTGATATAGATTCTGAAAGTGATATTTAAAAGGAAAGTAAAGATGGATTAAAATGAGGGGAGTAGAAAACCAAAACAGACATTTAATAGGCTAGCCCCAGAATGTATAGTTCAGTGATATGGTTTTGAAGGTACCTGGGGCTAAGAGTAAGGAGTAGTACAGACAAGGGTGTTTGAAACTTATGAGTTTGATTGATGGCTATTTCTGAGACTGAAAATTACTGAGATCCAAGAAGACTGCCAAGAGTAAAGTCAAATCCCCTGTAGATGACTCTCATGCCGTTATTGCCAGTGGGAGTTGACAGATGAAATCATTAGGAGATAATTCAGGGGCCAGCCTCTTCTTATGCTACAAAGATTTGAGTTGTTTTGACATCAGCAAATGCCTGGGTAAACATGGAAGAGAAAAGTCTTTTCCCAAATGGAGCCTTCGTATTGTCCCTCTCTGTGTCACTGTAGTAAAGACTAAATGAAGCTTATCATGATGAATTGCATTTCCCTTTAAGAAGATGAAAATTGAGCATATTTTATTAAGGAAGATGGAAGAGGGAGAACAGTAGAATTGCTCGGGTTTTGTTTTATGAAAATAGTCTTTCTGCTTTTGCTTTGCCTTTCAGTCTCTATTAAATTCAACATTTGTGTAACTGAATCAGTGAAAGAACACGTTTGCAGAGTATCATTACTTGGTTCTCCTAAGTAGAAAATTAGGCAGTATGATGAGAATGTGTTTGTTTTTGTCTTTGAGCTGTGACCAGGTCTTAGAATTATTTCTAAAATAAATACAGTGGGATGCCTTTGCAAAGAACATTGATTAAAAACCAGAGACCCTGGTTTCAGTCGTGTTCACTGCTTTTAGTAATTTGATGTTTCATTTTTCTTAGCCAAGAAGCATTTTAATATGCTTATTTTTTGTATATAATATAATGTAAAGGAGAAAATAGTATTTACTGCTTTGTTAGGTTTATTGCATTTTTACCCCAGGAGATTCAGACTCCAGTTCTATTCGAGTATTTCATTAGTTATAGTAGAACATGTGTGGTCCTGATCATGCATATCATGTTTGTATGCAGAAGACTGTTTCTTCTGAGTGGCTAAAGAAGAGCTAAAATTCTGTGACACCTCAGCAGGAGGGATCTAGTTGCAGACTGTACACTGTTGTCCACTCTTTTGCAGGATGATCAGGATGGTGCGTTTGTGAAATGGAGAGTGGAGAATTCATGGGGTGAAGACCATGGCCACAAAGGTGAGCTTAATCTCGTAGTACTAAGGGTGACAGGGTCTCTGCTTCCTAAGAATTATGGGTAGAAAGCTGCAGTAGTTTGGGCATTTTTAGTGGTGGTCCTATCAACTAGACTGTTCTAGAGAAAAATGTGAGGATCTGGTTTGCCCCCAGAATCCCAGTGACCTGCATGGTATGCCTGAACTGCCAAGTTGCCTCTAAGCCCAATATGTGCTGGCATTCGTTCCAAACCAGGCTGGCCCTACCAGACCTCTTTGTGCCTGAACTACTTGGCCAGTGAGAAGTTTGAGTGCCATTTGCTAGGATGTTTGCTATGTAGCATTTAGCGCATTTTCATTTACTGCACTGGGCAGAAGCCTTCTGAGGGAGAATGGGATTGGCAAAACTTGAGGCATTTATTGGAGACTCCTTAGAAGTTGTGAAGTTTAAAGAGGAAAAGAATGCTTTGGTTACTGTTTAGAACTGTTTTATTCTGACAAATCAAAACCCAGGCAGCAGTCATAAGTAAATTAGGCTAAAAAAAACAGGTAATATATGAGTTGTAGAAAAATAAAAAATAGAGATAAGCAAAAAGAGGACAATAAAAATCTCTAATAATCCTACCACCCCAGAGATCTCAATTGATTAACACTTTAGGGTATATTCCTGCAAATTTTTGAGGCCGTATTTTTAAAGACTGTTTTTCATAGTGGATTAAAAAGCCTTTTAAGGAGGTTTTATTCTTTAATTTTTAAGGTTTCAAACCAAAAGCAGCAACTGCCATAGAGTGTTATGCACGTAAGCCTGTATTTGCGTGTGTGCTGTGTGCTGTGTCATTTTGTAATAGCTCTGTTCTGGAGTCCACACTCCTTACCCTTAGCCAGTGGATTCTGGCTGAGAAAAGAACATTAACCACAGCTCACTAGACTACTTAAGCGACGGGGAGGGCCAGCCCAGTGGTGCAGTGGTTAAGTTCATGCACTCTGCTTTAGCGGCCCAGGGTTCGCTGGTTTGGATCCTGGCCACAGATCTACGCACCACTTATCAAGCCATGCTGTGGCAGGTGTCCCACATATAAAGTAGAGGAAGATGGGCACGGATGTTAGCTCAGGGCCAGTCTTCCTCAAAAAAAAAAAAGAAAAGAAAAAGAAACCAAGGGGCTGGCTCTGTGGCCGAGTGGTAAAGTTCGCGCGCTCCGCTGCGGTGGCCCACGGTTCGGATCCTGGGCGCGAACATGGCACCGCTCGTCAGGCCACGTTGAGGCAGCGTCGCACATCCCACAGCTAGAATGACCTGCAACTAAGATATACAACTATGTACGGGGCGGGTTTGGGAAGATAAAGCAGAAAAAAAAAAAAAAGAAAACAAAGACTAGGAGGAAGTAGGTAGGGAAGCTATGGGATACCCGGATACTTGGACTCAAACTTAAGCATACGTCTCACCCAAGCAGGAATCAGCCAGAAATTTTCTTAAAAAGAAAATAGAGATCTCAGCAACTCTTTGCCTGTTGCATCCCTCATTTAATCTTTTGTTCTAAGTCTTTTAATCCCTCATAAAATGATCATTGGTGGATTTTGGCCAACTATCCCTGGGATCCTGTGGTGAAACTCAGCAGCTCAGGGTTTATATATAAACAAATAAAAACACTGTTAGTTCATTTCTGTTCATTGTCAGGTAGTTACATGTCCCCCTTCTGTGAATTCTGTTATTGTTCTGTGATTATGGGGTGCTTGTTAAATTATTATGAATTAAAATGCAACATATTTTTTAATTAGTTATTTCTTATAAGATGAATTTCATTTTAAGACGAATACATGTTGGGATCAGGTAGAGAGGGGCATAAACCTTAAAGGTAGCAGAAAGATTAAAAATAACTCTCAGTTCAATTATATCTGTAAATTGGTGAAACGGATGCAAGGGAATAGCTTGTCTTGAATTGGAAGGATTTGATATTAGTCACATTGTAAAACGTAAGATATTGCTTCAGATGAACATCTGTAGCTTCTGATTCATTTTTGACCTAATTTGATCCCTGTAATTGGGTTTGTTATCATAAAGGTGAATGTCTAGGAAAAGAACTGGAGTTTTGGTTTGTTTGGACAAGCCTGGATCCACTGGCTTGCTTCAGTGATATTTTCTATCTGTAACAGTCGTTGAGTTTGTAGATAGTAGTGATATCCATTTAAGAGAGTATGTACACTTGTTAGGCAAATGCTCTGTGTTTTGTGTAGTATGAATTATTGTCTTTATCACTTTGAGCCTAAATATATACTCTTAAAGAGGATTCTGGGCCACTTTGCTATTTTTTTCCCGTTCAGCTGTACTTCTTTACTCCTACTCAGTAAAAGTTTTCCTTCTGCTGACTTACTCATTTCGTTACTGTGTTGAGAGAGCTGGGGTCTTGATCCCTGTGATCTGCCTGTAATCTTTCCAAGTGAAATCAGCTATCTAGTTAAGATTAAACTGACTTTTTTTGTTGTTCTCAAATAACTAAAATGCCTGAGATTATACAGAGCAAAGCATTTCAGTGGAGAGCCAACAGATAAGAAATTGAACTGAGTGGGGGTGGAAAATAGTTCATTCATAGCCAAAATAAATTATTCTCATCTATTTCTTGGTAATGTTCTTTCTGACTTAACAGGAAGGAAGGAAAAGAAAACATGATCTAATTTAGTTGGCACACTTGGTCTGACCTTAGGAGAGTGTGTATGTTATTATGCTGGTGATGTGTGTTTACCCCAGCAGGGCCCTTCTGTCTGTCATCCTGATGGGCATTGGCTGGCACCTCTGAGGCAGAGCTTCTGTTTGTGCTCTCTTGGGAGATGTGACAGCCTTAAACAGCATTGCTGGGATTTTGTTTCTGTAGATAACATTGTTAACAGTTTGTTAGTATTCTCTTTGGGATTTCTTCCTGTTAAGTTTCATGGTTTCTGAAAAAGCACTGTTGATAATACAAGTTGGAGGTAAACGGAACCCAGATACCTGGGCAGGCTGCCCTTGCACTCTGCCCAGTCCTGGCTTTGGTCTTGCCCATTGGTCATGTTCATGGCCTTTCCTGCACAGAAATTGCTAAATAAATCAAATAACCTGACCATTTCCCCAAATGGGCAAAGGTTCCTTCTGACTATAGGAGACATAAAAGGGGAAATTAATTCTTGTCTTCCTGGACTCGTTGAGTTACTTCATGTTGATGAATTCTAGTATTAGTCAGCTGGACTGAAAATTGGATGCGTATCTAACATGTTGTACAACCAACATGGCTTTCTTTTCTCCTCAGCTTCTTGGAATACTTGACTGTGCATTTTTGCCTTGTTTGTGGGTCATATCAGAAATGGATTTCACAGTTGGATGGGGGAACAGACCTTGGGACTTGTTAAATTGTCTTTCATTTTGAAATGTTGATAGGCTTGTTACGGTAAATAGTTTGTACACTATTTAAGAATTTAAAATAGGGGAGATAACCATTGGTGCTTCTCGCTCTTAGTCAGAAATTCATCTGCGAAACTATCTTTACGTGATTAAGAAATTATCTAAAGTGATCTAAAGAGACAGAGCCAGAATTATAACCTAGACCGGCTGACAGTAGAGCCTGTTTTCTTAACCACTAAACTTTGCTTCCTCTCAGCTTCTCTCTTCTAGTAGCATCTAGTCCACTCATGGAAATAACAGATCACTTTCGATCTTTGGTGATCAGAAGCTAGTTGCTGAGGGGACACAAAACTGTAAAAAGGATCTGGAGGCATCTTGTAAGTGTCCGATGTCAGGAGACAGGGCTCGTACGGCACCGTAATGGCTGGGAGTCCGGACGAGGAGGGAGGGATGAGGCATCCTGTGAGGGTTTGTGTCCAAAGTTAGCACACTGTGAGTTGGTCAAGTAAAAACTGTATGTAACCTCCCAAAATTTACCAGAATTATTTTGTTCATGCTGCTTTATAACATGTTTTTCTGTTTTTTTCTTAACTTTTTTATCATGAACAATTTTGAACATGTATAAAGTGGACTGAATAGAATTAAGGAATCCCCACGTGCCCATCTCCCATCGTCAGTGGTTGTCCGAGTTCTACCATGCGTGTAACAAAGTGTTTTTGACAGTCGGTAAATTAAATTCTTGGACGCTCTCCCTAATGAACCAGTCTTATTAGGAAACTTTACTTCTTTATGATCGGTTCACTTAGTCATGGGATGGTATTCCAGTTCTGAAGTCTGCTACAGCAGAGCTGTGAATGTGGAATTGTCATAGCACAGTTCTTAATGCTTGTTTAGTCTAGTTTTTTAATATGCTAAGTAATATAACTTTTAAGTGAGGGTAGGAGGAATATTTTCAAATTCTGTAATGGTCATTGAAGGAAAATCTTTATTTTTAAAAAATTCTCTCTTTCTTAATTTTCATTTTGAACCAAGATTAGTTTTTCATTTTTCAGTTTGCTTTTGTGCCTTTAAGATACATGAACGTGTGAAATTGTTTTTAACCTACGTTCTTCATCTTTTCTTACAAATGAACCTCTTTGTTCCTGAATTCATTTTAGTAAAATTTCCAGACTTCCTCCTGAAAGGGAGTCTCTTGATGATTTCGGTTAAAGAGTCTTTGGCATCTTAGAGATTAATCTGGAAAGAAACTTATGTGGCTGATTCAGATTATATGTGGACTTTTGTTTCCTTAAATCCATCAGTATGGCCTTTAATTGCCTCACCAGTCAGCCTACCCCGTGTGGTTTTGGAGACAGGGTGTCCAAAGCTAGGCACAAAATTCAGCGTATTCCTCATAGAACGTTGTATATATTGTTGAACCAGGAGAGACAGTTAGATGCTGTGGAGTAATTTAACTCCTTATGGTTTTGCGTTTCCCTTATCAGTAACATGGGTAATTACTGTTGCCTTATGAGGTCCTATAGTTTTACAGCCCTCAGATGAAATAGTGTATGAAAGCGTTTTTCAAACTGTTTCCTGTTTTATAACTCTAAAAAGTTTAGTGACTATTCCATATTTCTGTCAGAGGTACTCAGGACGTAGAGTTCATAGCATCTTGCTTCCTAAGAATTTAATTTGCTCATGTATTTGTGTTTATTTTTCCTCATGGCATCAAGATAGAGTAACTGAGGATGTGAATGCCGGTGATTATACCTCTGTTTTATGTGGAAAAAATGAAAATGTATTGAAAGGTTTCAGGTTATTTGAGTTGCACAGTGTCAGAGATGGAGCTGGAATTCAGATTTCTTAATTTTACTCAGGTCACTTCCCTAAAAATATGATTATAATACCCCTTATCTGTGGTTTTGCTTTCCATGGTCTCAGTTGTCTGGTCGAACTGTGGTCCAAAAATATTAAATGAAAAATTGCAGAAATAAACAATTTGTAAGTTTTAAATTGCGTGCTGTTCTGAGTAGCATTATGAAATCATTCACCTCACTTCATCTCATCACATAGGCATTGTATCATCATCACATCCTCACAGGAAGAAGAAAGGTGAGTACAGTACAATGAGATGTTTTGAGAGAGAGAGACCACATTCACATGACTTTTATTACAGTATATTGTTATAATTGTTATTGTTAATCTCTTAACTGTGCTTAATTTATAAATTAAACTTTATCATGAGTAGGTATGTGTAGGAAAGCATGGTACACACAGAGCTCAGTACTCTCTGCAGTTTAAGGCGTCCACTAAGGGTCTTGGACTGAATCACTCATGGATAAGGGGGGACTACAGTGATGAAAGATAACTGATTATTTGCAGATCTGTTAGAGATTCAGTTTTCGATTTCTAGCACAGATAATATAAATTATGGACAGTATTGAGCTGAACTTGCTCTGGAATAAGAGAAAATTATATGAACTAGAAGCAGAGGCTTCTCATTTCCTGAAAAGGGCCAAGATACAAATTTGTCATGTCACCTCATGTTTTTCATGTCTCTCTAGGCTTAGGAAAAGTGCTGCTACCATCAAATCTGGGTATCTGAGTTCCTTTAGAGGGACTTCTCATCCTTCATCTTTGTTAACCAAAGAGTCTGCATGACTCGAGCTAAAAAATAGTGCATGTGAGTGGAACAGAGGAAGCATGAGCTCTCAGATGGACTGCTGCTTCCTTATCAAAGTGTGTGACTAGGAGAGGGTTCCTGTTTGTGAGAGGGGAACAAACTATGGGACAGAGGCTCCTCCTAACCTGCAACCAGGCATCAGTTTCAGGGAGAAATCCTCTCACATTTAATAGAGATTTTTGTGTGTGTATTTGCTTTCTCTGTAGAGAGGATCTATTATTTTCACCAGGTTATCTCCAAGGTGTGTTTGCATTTGTTTGAGAAAGATAGAGGTTAAGCATAGAGCCTGGAGCCCAGGCCCACGTCCTAGCACTTCCGCCGATCGGCCGCGTAGCCTTGGGCGTGGTGCTTAACTCACTTAAGCCTCGGTTCTCTTCATCTATAAAGGTGGGATACTAATCACATCTACCTCGTGGGGTTGTTGTGAGAACTGTGCCAAGCATGTAAGAAGTGCTCAAAAATCTTAGCTATCATTGTTACTGTTGTTATCTGTGGATGAATGTAGGCAGGAGAACAAGAATGTAAGTCCCTTAATCTGGCCCTTCTAGAGGACGGCTGTCTACCTTGTCCATGGTTCTAGCTTCAGGTTTCTAAGAATTCAGGACCCTAGGGTGACCATTGAGCTACATCTCCAGTTACTGGTTGCATGACTCATCACGTGGGCTTAGTTTCATGAGAGAAAGCAGTGGAGGTGAATAAACTTAGTGCTGAGGAAAAACCATTAGCAACAGCATCACCTCACATTTATTGATGGGATGCAGGGAACCATGCACAGACCATGGGGGAATGAATGTCTCGGACCCTCAGAGGAATTTATACTTACTCACTTATGACACAGGAAGGGGATCTGAAGAGGGCTGTGATGTGACAGAAGTGGCATTCGTGGTGTGCTCTTCAGACTGTAAGATATAGGATAAAGCAGACAGAGAAGAGCAAGAGAAAGGATGATTTCTCAGAGAAGGGAGGTGACAGAGAAAGAAGAACCAGGGAGGGCCCCCTCAGTGAGGAGACAATAGGAAAACATTGAAGCTGAGGTTGTTGAAATGGGTGTGGGGTTAGGGAGAAGCCGAGGGACTGGATGATGTCAGGGAGAACCTGGTGGTAAATGATGCAGAGCAGAGCAGTCAGAAGATGAGTCCAGGAGAAAGGCTTTGCGGTTAGACTTTAAGGCAGGTTTTGGAAACTTCAGGAGGAGTGGGGGTGGAAGCGCAACTGTCCTTTTATGCCATCTCAGTGACATTTTAGTGCTTAATTCCTTCAAATGCTAGGTCCTTGGCCGGGGGGCTGGGAAAATTGAAGCTGGAACCATTGATGCTGTAAATCTTGCTCCATATGATGTTTTAAATTTATTATAAGAACAAATATGCAAAACAAAAACGCAGAATAAGTGCAAAATATTATTGGGGATAAACTGCAAGGGAGATGGTGAGTGATTGGAACTGTAAAGGCTCCTTAGCAATTCTTCAGGGGTGAGTGGAGTTTTAGGAAAGGTATTAGGCTTGTGGCTTGTTTTGGAAATGAAGTGGGAGGTCAGCCAGGGAAACGGTAGCTGAGAAGGGTAGCTTTTGGCATGTGGGGCATGCTGCAGGAAGGTCCAAGGAGTGAGGCCAAGAAATATTGTTGCCTGCTATCCATGGAGCTTTTGAGGAATGATCAAAAAGCAGGCCTTGGGGCTGGCCCCGTGGCCGAGTGGTTAAGTTGGTACCCTCCACTTGGGCAGCCCAGGGTTTTGCTGGTTCAGATCCTGGGTGCAGACGTGGTACCGCTGATCAAGCCATGTGGAGGTGGCATCCCACATGCCACAACTAGAAGGACCGACAACTAAAAATACACAACCATGTACTGGGGGGCTTTGGGGAGAAAAAGGAAAAAATAAAATCTTAAAAAAAAAGAACAGGCTTTGCCTGAAACAAATACGAGTAGTGATAGTTTTGGGGTCAGAGAAAAATCATTGAGTTCGGCAGGAAAACAGACCCTTGGCTGACACCTGAATTTGTGTTTTCCTCTCCTCTCCAACATCAGAGATCCTGGCAGGATTGTGTGTACTCTCAGACTTGCCTGGATTGTTCTCACTGGTCCAGGGAAAGGGGAGATCAGACTGGGTAGTGTGTTGCCTTCTGTCTTCAGCTCAGAGGTGGACAGGCTTCTTCTGGACTCCTTAGCAGAGGGCACTTCCTCAGGAAGTGTATACTTCTGCTCACTAAACTTCGTTGTGGTTTGATGGTTTGAAAAAATACAACCCACAAACCCAAACAACCTCTTTCTCTACCACACTTTTCCCTCTGCTTTTTTCCTGGAATATTTACCAAGGAAATGGTATCTTCTCTAACCTTTGTTTCTGAAAGAGGCCACAGGTAATATCCAGCTATAAGGGTATCCCTTGTCTTATGTAGAAGGTTCAGGAGCATGAATGTGTCCTCACCACATAGCTGGACTTTGGTCTTTGCTCTGGAGGAAAAAGAAGCCTCTTCTCAGACACTGTCCAAATGTCTGTCTCGTAAGTGGTGGTTTTTGTTCTGTTCCTCTTGTTTTTTTTAAACATCCAGCCCGTCTTGTTCTCCTTCCTTCTAAATATATGCACTTAGAACACATGGTATCTCTTTAATTTAAAGATATAAAATACCTCATAAATGGACCCCACAAAAACTGGGCACATGACTGTTGATGTGGGATGTGTGAGCAGATGGAATTGGCTCCAAACAGTTAGGTGCTTGAGCTGGATTACGTGCTGTTGTGTTATCTGTTGCTGAAGCCCTAACTACCTGCCATGTCTCCTTGTTGCTGAGTGCTCTGTTGGAGGAAGCTGAGCCCCGTGGACAAGACTGAATTTGAAGTTAAGACTTGAATTTGAGTGTGGGCTTTACTTACTGGCTCTGTGACTTTAGACAGCTCATAGCAGCCCTGCCTGCCTCGTAGTGTTGTGAGGATTCAAATCAAAACAAGCCTAGTGGATGTGACATTTCATTGTGAAGTGTAAGCTCCCAACAGATTTGTGTGTGGTTTTGTTTTGTTTTCTAAAGTGTAATTCTTAATAAATAACAAAACTACATTGTTCCAAAATTAAAGTACAAAAAAGTATAAAGAGGATTTTATTTCCATCTCCATCACTCTCCACTCTATTCCCCTCCCCTTCTTTCAAGTTAGTTTCTATTCAGTTCTCTTGTATCTTTCCAGTGCTTTTTAGTGTACCAAAGTAGCATGCATATACCCTGCTCTGCATCTTGCTCTCACTTCACTTAACAGCATGTCTTGGAGGCGTTTCCATATCAGTCTCCACATCAGTACAGCTTCATTGTCTTCCATTGTCTGGATGTGCCATAGTTTATTTAACCAGTTCCCTTACTAATGGATCTTGGGTTGTTTCCAGTCTTTTACTATTACAAACGATATTGCATTGAATTAATACATGTAAAATGCTGAGAACAGTGCCTGACACATAGTAAGAGCTGAATAAGTATTAGCTATTACTGTGCACAAATAAGTAAATATTATGTGCATGCAAGTCCTGTGTGTCTATAGGATGAAGTCCCAGAAATGGTGTTGCTTAGTGAAAAGAGTAAATGCATTTGAAATTTTTCTAGGTATTTCCAAACTCCATTCCATAGGGATTGTATCATTTTGCACATTTGCAACATACTCTATACAAATGTAAAATATTAGGGCATGCTTTACACAGTGGGTACCTAACAGAAGTGGTTGACAGATAATCACTACTTAATGATCTGTTTGAATTGTGTGTGTTCGTAATTGGAGACTAGACTGTGCCAAGGCCTCAGTGAGTGCTGGGCTTTTCAGTGACACTGTTTTTCTAATGTTTTCTTACCACTCTTCCTACTTTTTTCTCTTATTTATTTTTTGTTATAGTAGCAGAAAAATGTTTATAAGCATAACACCAAAATTAGAAGCCATAAAGGAAAAGACTGATAAATTTGACTTCATTAAAATTAAAAATTTTAGCAGACTAGAAGACATCATAAACTAAATTAAAAGGCAAATTACATAATAGAAAAATGTTTGCAACCATCATAATGTATAAATAAATAGTGTACTGTTACTGATCACTATGAAAAAGGGAAATACACCAGTTAAAAATAGGCAGATGTCCCAAACAGGCACCTCACCAAAGAAAAGTGTAAGTAGCAAGCAAACACACACACACAAAAGTTCAAATTGGACCCAAAAAGAAAGTTTTAATTATACATACCAAATATTGATGAAGAGATAAGGAAATTAAATGGATAATTAAGGATATAACAAAGGTTTAATTGTAAAAATGTTTATAGCAGTGTTGTTTCTAAGCATGAAAAAACAATCCAGATTCCAACAGTCGGAAATTGATTAAATACATTCTGGTTTACTCATACAAATTCAGCATTTAAAAATTATGGTGTAGATAGATGTAGTTTTTTGTCAATGTGGAAAGAGCAATATTGGAGAACGGTGTGTGTGGTAATTTGTAATAAAAGAGTATGTCTGATGCCTTGTTTGTGTTAAATGTATAGAGTCTACACGTAGGAACTCTGCCAAAGGATATACGTAAAATCTGAACAGGGCTTATCCTGAGGTGGTGGGATTGTAGGCAGCTTTTAAGTTTATATTTGTCTCGTCGTCCTTCTCAGCCACCACTTCCTCCTTCTGCTCCTCTTCCTTCTCCCTCTCATCTTCCTCCTCCTGTGTTTCCAAAGTTTTTATAATGAGAGTGAATTATTTGGGTAGTCTTTAGGGAGTCAAAAAGCCGTGTAACATTTCAGAAATTTGGGGGGGATATCACCTACCCCATGATACAAAATTATCATTTTGTTACTTTTTTCGTGCTTCCCCCTCTGTGTGTCTGGATTTGTATCATAGCTGTAGTTATATAGGATATACTGTTTTCATATACTTTACTTTTATCACTTGACCGTTTTTCCATGTTGCTGCATAGTCTTCACAACTTCATTTTAAAAGACTAAGGTTTTGAGGAGTGCTTTCTCACTATTTTTTAGGAAGTTTGAAGCATGAGACAAGTGTCAGTGAGGTTTTGCTTTCCTCTCTGGAAGCCTTTCTTCAGTCCTGAGTTGTCACCATGAGGTGAAAGATTGGTAGTGACTTAATGAGGCCTCGGTGGTCTGGCTTCCTTAGGTCCAGGCTGCCAGACAGACCCATCAGAGCAGAACAGATGACTTGATTTTGTTACACTTTTTTTTAAATAGAAGAAAAACCTCATTATAAATAGTGTATTAGTGAGGAGAAATACTTCACAGAACAAAGCAAAAAATATAAAATCTATATAATTCATAAATGATATATTTGGCACCTTACTCTAGTCTGAGAGGATTAAATCTTAGATCCCTGGTAGGATTTCAGAAAACTGTTTTCTCAGGTAAAGGTCTTCTTTCCCTTAAACTGACCCATTCAGAACTGTTCTGTTTGTGAGTGAATTTGGCCTAACCAGTTTAGAGCTGTATCCGCAGACGCTGTTTTTCCCTTTACAGACAGATACTACGCTTTCATTTAACAAATAACAGAAACATTGCCAGTTGCTTTGAAAGACTGTTCACTTATTTTCTTTCTTTCTCTTTGCATGTAAACAAGACGTTAAAGTTGAAACAAAGTTTAATTTCACTTTAGTTCCTAAAGCTGAGTTTATCTGTTTATCTGTTGTTTCCCTAAATGTAACCTGGGGATCCCTGGAGCAGGTTCTTCTTTTCTTTCCCTTCTTGCTTGTGGACACCTGTTTAGTGGCCAGGGTGCTTAAAGGCTAGTGGCTGCAACTTTCCTCAATTCAAAATGGCCACTTCCGTCCTGCCCGCTGGGTACTTGCTGCTCCTTTACACAGCACTTGCTTGAGTTTCAGACGTACTGATCCTAATCTTCTCAGTCAAACTCCAAGACACACAGTATCAACAGCTACAGCAGCCGCAAGTTCATTATCTACTCAGGGTGCAATTACTTGGCAGCCACCTAGACTGTGGGGGTTTTTGTGGGCCCCCAAAGAACTCATATCCTGAAGAGAGAGACTAATCAAGGCAGGTCCTCTTGGCAGGGACACTGAAAGGGTGGATTGGAATTGATAGGAGTTTTAATTTGTGAGGACTTAATCTGATCTGCTTTTGGAACAAGATAGTGTAGATGTACTTATTGTCCATTTTCTCTGGGCATTCTTTGAAGACTCATTTGATTGTGTGATGATAGTATTGTCGTAAGGACACAGAACTTTATTACATGAATCTGCTTCTATCTTTCACCTGCCTCAGTGCCCAGAGCTGCTCTGAGGATTTGTTCAGCCTGCATTATGGTACGGGAAGGATGACTAATGTTAAATGGTGTAATATTCAGCAGTCTGGTCTCCTGCCCTCTGAAAGCTCCTTTTTGGGAAGGCAGATGCTGACTTTCTTAGGAAGCGCTTGGAGTGCAGCAAGAAATGGTACTGATTGGCCCTTCAGCTGGGCAAGCTTTGGTTGCTAGAACTTAGTGGCAGTAGCGTAGGTGATGATAAGAGCCAGGTCCTGACTGAGTGACACGAGCAAAGTCAGGGACTTTGGAGTATATGATCAAGACAGAAACCAGAAATGGGGCAGGCCACAGCGTTTGTCTTCTCTCCTTCCCTGTATCTCCTCTTGAGAAGAGGAGCACTGGATCCGGGGGCTGGCATCAGGGGACAGGGATACGTGCCATTACCTGACTTGGTCAGAGCCCTGGAGCACTGTTCCAGGGCATTTTCCTGTGAGGGTAAACATGCTGTGCCACGTCACGATGTGTTGTCTTTGACTTCTCACAGGGGAAGAGAAGAATTGAGCGTAGGTGACCTCACCAAACAAACTGTGTTTTCAAGTTAAATGACTTCTGACACACCATTTAGCTTACAACATTAGACTTACCATCATGTTGCCTTTTAATTATTTAAATCAGTCTTGCTTTTAGAACAGCAGTTCTCAGAGTGTGATCTGAGGACCCCTGCAGGTTCCTGGCACCCTTTTAGGGGGTCTGCAAGGTCTTTCCTTCTCCAACAGCCTATCTGTGTGAGACCAATTTTCTTCATTTACTACAACCAGAACAACAGATTGCGACAGATGGAACACAGAAGCAGAGGAAAGAATTTAGCTATCTTCTGTGAAGCCAGACATTACATTGTAAAACAGTGCCACTTTTCTAACTAAAATTTATTTTGTTTTGGAGAATAGAATTATTTTTTCCTAAAAATATATTATTTATATTCATATTTTTCATTCTTATTTTTAAATGAATTAATATTTTTAACTTTCTCTTTTAATTTCTAATACAGTAAATATCAGTAGGTATAATCCACAAAATGTAAAACAACTTTCTGGCATCTTCAATAATTTTAAGAATATACAGTCTTGTCTTGGGGCCAAGAAGTTTGAGAACCGCTGCACTAGAGGACCATGTTGGCAGAAATGCCTCCATCTTCTTTCTTTCTCTTGGTCCTGTGTAGTGGGAAATGAAATAGCACAGGCCTAGATTTGCACAGACACTTTCAGAGAAAAATGACTCAAGTTTCTAGTATGTAGTAGGTGCCAGATATGGTAAGATGATGGTGATGATGATGATGATGATGATGATTATGATTATTGCTATTTCCTGTGAGACCTGAGATGTGTACCTGCTTGCAGTGCCCTGTGTAGGTACACATTTTTGTGCTCTGTGCTCTCTCCCTGGCCCATTCTTGTTTTAAATACACACACTTTAGTTTATCACCTTACTTTGCTTTTTATGTTAACAGTAGTTCAGGTGAAGCATCTTCCCCCTTGCTGAAGTTTGTTGGAAGTATGTTCCTGAAGGGGAATTTGTGTTGTCCCGGTAGAGATAGGAAGAGGCAGTTTTCTAGGATGGATGCCTCATGATACCACACTGTTTCCGTCAGATGAGCTCTCAGCCTGGGGTGTCAGTACAGCTGTGCCTCTCTGCAGTCCCACCTCCGGAGACACCCATAAAGCCAGGGCCTTACTGGGGAAGAGAGGCCGAGCAGCTGTCTCAGTTTGCCAGTTCTGCCTGATCCTCCTCAGAGATTTCCTCCCAGGAAAGCAAGGACTGTGTTATCATTTGACTCACACAGTATCATCTGCAAATAAGTGACTACCTGGGAATGATGACATGGCCTCCGCAGGATTCCCCCAGCAGTTTAGCTGGTTGTAGGAATTTATGGTAGAGAGGAAGGAAGGAGAACAGCCAGCGATCCTGAGAAGGTGGGTGGGGTCAGAATGGAACTGGTATGCTTGCCCTTCTGACCCTAGAGTTAACCCCTGCGTGTGGCTGTATGAACAAGGAGCATTTCCACCTCCTTCTGGGATCATCCACTCACCTTCATCGAGGCAGCCTGGGCAGCGGAACAGCCAGGATCTGGTAACAGCCTTAGGTCCAGGGCCCAGCTCTGAACCTCACTCATGTGTCCTGGGCATGTCACTTAGTTACTCCGAGCCCCACTTTTCCAATTGGTAAAAATATAGCCATGCCTGTCCTGTCTGCTTCACAGAATTTCTAATAAGACTTAGATTAAGTGAGATTTTAGATGAGAAAGCTAAAAACACGGACAAATGTTAGTTTTTTTAAAAGGCTTCTCTGTTGTGCTAGTAGGGTTTCTGCTCTTTGCCCTTGCCCTCATGAGGCTTCTCTTCTTTTCTCCAGGTTACCTGTGCATGACAGATGAGTGGTTCTCTGAATATGTCTACGAAGTGGTGGTGGACAGGAAGCATGTCCCTGAAGAGGTGCTAGCGGTCCTAGAGCAGGAACCCATTGTCCTGCCAGCCTGGGACCCCATGGGGGCTTTGGCCAAGTGATATTGCCTCCAGCTCTTTCCTCCTCCCTTGGGACCCGAAGTAGCTGCAAAGGACAGATCCAGGGACTGAAGCCAAAGTTACACAGGTGACTGTGTGTTCCCACAAGACACAGCCAGACTCTTGGATTTCTCCTCCAGGAACCTCTTCGGGAAAGTGTGCTTTATGCTGAAACAAAATATTCTTAAAGAAAAAAGGGGGGAAGATCGGGTCACACTGTCTACTCTCCTCATCTCCAACAGCTCAGGATCTCTTAGCATTTTAATTAGATGTAATTGTTTGTCTTAACTTTGTCAAAAAGATTTGGTTCAGTGTTTGTTTTAATAAGACAGGAGAGGATGAGCAATCGAGGTATGTGGAGAGAAAATGGACCTAATGCTCCTTGTTCCTAGAGTAGAGTGGGGGGAGGGTCACCCTAAGATTTGAGCTCTCGAAACTGCATGCTGCCCGACAGTGTCACTGTCCTCCCTACGTGGCAGTCGCTGAATTGAATTTTTTCAAGGTAATTTCATGTGCCTCCGATAACCTAGGAATGGGAGGTTGATCACGTCTGACATGATTCCTTCCTATTGTTCTAAACTGTAGGGGAGCACAGCCCTCCTTGAGTCAAGGGTAAGTAGAGGCCTAGAGAAAGGGGGGTGAGAGAACAACCAAACCGTATCATGATCTGAACGATGATCATTGGGGGGGGGGCTCTAGCCAAATGCTTTAACTTCTGCCTTTGGAATTGGGCGTCGGGTGGGCAGGAAAAGGTGATATCCATTCTTTCTGACAACCAGATGGTGCTGAGAAGCTTTTGAATAAAACTCTTTGCTAAATGAGAGGAATTTGGCTTACTTGATCTAAGAAGTGTTTCTTTCTTTAGCTACAAAGGAAAGCAGCCAGGTCACTCATGTTCTTCAAAGTGAAAAAAGAGCAAGTTGGTTCAGGGCTTCCCTGCCTCAGCTTCTCCATGGGACACCTGATCCTTCCCGGCTGTGCTGATGCTCACTGGCTTCTGCAGAGGGCCGCCAGCACCGTATTCACGAGGGCTTGGGCCCCTGACACCTAACCATTCTTGCCCTCAGTTCCAGGGTCCCTCCAACGGTGGGAAGTGAGGCTCTACTGGGTCCAGCTTTAGGTGGGGCTGGAGAATATGTGTTCTGCCGAGACTGGGCCTCCCTGTCACTGAAAGCAAATCAGTCCAGCACCCTCATCAGCATCCCCGTCAGTGCCTGAGCCCCTACCTTTCTGGCTCTCCAAGAATCATCTCAGTCCTAGCAGGGGGTGTTTTCTGTCACAGCACTTTCCAAGATCATGTTAGATAAAGGCTCAGGTTTTAATCACAGTGTTTACAATATTCTAGTAATCCTGTTCCAGCAGGATAAGTAAGTCTATTTCTAGACACATCATGGTGAAACCCCAGAACAGATCTTAAAAGCATCTGGGAAGAAAAGACAGATTACCTCCAAAGGAAAGACAATTGAATTGACAGCCACCTTCTCATCAGCACCTGTATATGCCTGAAGACAGTGAAATACATCTTCAAAGTGCTAAGAGAAATGAACTGTAAACCCAGAATTCTGTACTCAATGAAACTGTCTTTCAAAAACAAGAGTGTGGGCCGGCCCCATGGCCGAGTGATAAAGTTCGCACGCTCCCCTTTGGTGGCCCAGGGTTTCGCCGGTTCGAATCCTGGGTGCAGACATGGCATGGCTCATCAAGCCATGCTGAGGCAGCATCCTACATGCCACAACTAGAAGGACCCACAACTAAAATATACAACTATGTGCAAGGGGGACTTGGGGAGAAAAAGCACAAAAAAATGAAAAAAAAAAACCCAAGAGTGAAATAAAAGACATTTTCAGTCAAAAACTTGGCCAAACAGAAAGATAGTGATCCAGTATGGAGGGTCTGAATGCAACAAAGAATATAGATCAGAGAAAGTGACAAATATGTGTATCATTAAAAAGTGATTGTAGGAAGTCTTGTAGTGTTCAAAAAAAGAGAACCGAAATACATGAAAATAGATAAATAATTAGGGAAGGAAGTTGTTGGAGTAAAGTCCTTACGTCATTCCAGAAGAAGAAAAGTATGTTGATTAACTTTAGACTTTGGTATGTTAATTGTATATGCTAAAAATTTCTAGACTAAGTACAAAAAGATAAAACAGAGGATGCAGTTTCCAAGCAAGAGTGTAATCAATCTATAAAAAGATAGAGGAGAGAAAAAACACAGGACCAAATAGAGGGTCCAAAATGAGACAGGAGAAGTAAATCTAAATGTCAGTAATTACATTGTATATAAATATTCCACAAAAAAGACAAATTGTCAATCTGGATTTTTAAAAGAAATTCAGCCGTAAGTTGCATATAAAAGCATAATTACATGTTTACTTGATTCTCCAGACAAGTATAAAGATACCAAATAAGTATACACCTAATATAACCTTAAAATACAAAAACAAAAACTGAAAACTTATGGAAAAATAAGTAATTCAATATAATGGAACATTTTAACATACTTCTCAATTATTGATCAAGCAACTGAAAAATCAGGTGAGTATATAAGAGACGTAAGCATTTAATAAGTTTGATATAATGGACGTCTGTGGAACACTGCATCTGACAACTGCACCTTCTTGCTGAGCACACATGGAACTTTTTCAAAAGTTGACCACAGCTGGGCAGTAGAGCCAACCTCAACAAATTTCAAAGGATTGTCATCATGCAAACCACAATGCAATTAAGTTAGAAACCAACATTGAAAGATAACTAGAAGACCCCTAGATGTTTGGAGTTAACTCATAGGTCCAAGAAGAAATCATAAAGGAAATTTAACCTGAACAATAATAAAAATACTACATGTCAAAATGAGAGAGACAGCTAAAACAGTCTGTAAATTTTATAGCATTAAAAGTTTACTAGAATGTAAGAAAATCTAAAAATTGAGCTAAGCATCTGTTTCAAGAAATTAGAACAGCAAAATAAACCTAAAGGAAGTAGAAGGAAGTAAAAAAGATGGCAGAAATTAAACAGGATCAACAAAGCCACAAGTTCTTTAAAAAAAAAAAAAGCAGATTAACAGATCTTTGGCAAGACTGATAAAAAAAGGCACACACAAAAAGGGGAATACTTGTACAGATGGTGCAGATATTAGAAAAGTAGAAGATACTCTTTGTCAAAAGTGACAGTGAAGAGATTTGTTTAGAAGACAAATCCACACAAGCTCGAGAAGAACAGGAGGAGAAACAATACGCTGGAAAGCCTGAATGCTGAACGATTTAGCAGAGCCAAAAAAGTTGAATCCCAGAGACGGCCAGTGCAGAGCCATTTACATGGCACAGTCCCCACACAGCTCAGCTACGGGTGCACCAGAGGGCAGTAGTCTGGGGACGGGGAGTCCAGGGAGAGTTTCTGAAGGGTTGGCTGTCTGCTCGGTCCCCTCCCTACTTGGAGCAGCTAGGTGACTGTCCCTCCCCAGCTCAGCAGCCCATTCAAGATTTATTATTTATTTATTATTATTATGGTCCTGGAGGTCAGGAACGTAGCCGAGAGTGGAAATGCCACAGGCGAGTAAGTGAGCATTTGCATTTTGAATGTGCTCTGCCACGTTGTGCTCCTAGAACTCTAGTGCCCAGGAGTTTGGAAGTCTTCTCTGGGGAATCTTGATTAGTGCAAGAGGAGAGATGCAAAGAGCTACCTTACGGCAGAAAGAATTATTTTATGAGGCTGGCATAACCCTGACAAGGATAGTGAAAGAAAAAATTACATGCAAATCTCACCCATACTTACAGATGCAAAAATCCTAAGCCAAATATTATAAACCAAATCCAGCAATACATAAGAACCTTCATAACCAAATATTTTAATAAAAGCTATTTTTCAAATGAAATTAGGATCCAGTGGGGAGAGACGAATGGTGGCTATGTCTTCTCTGCTGAAGATGAAGCCAGGGATCTGAGCTGGAAGAACTTGCTAATATCTGGGTGACTGGTGAGCTCAGAAGTGGGAAGGTGAGCATTGTCTTCCCCTGTAACTCTGAATGGTACTCTGCCCTCTGGAAGGTCTTCGCCAGCCCCAGGACCCTCTTGAGACATGTGGAGTCACGGTGGCCCCGCACGCCCAAGAAGCCAGGGCCTGATAATGAGACGTGCCTTCAGGATGTGGTTGTGGGCTCTGGCTTGTCCTTACAGAGCAGCTCAATTCCGATTTGCTCTTGGCAGTGCCAGGGCGCCCGCCCTTTCGTTCCCTCCCCCAGTCGAGTGTGGGAGAGTGTTGTTGCTGACTGCGGCCACAGTCATTGGTTCCGTTGGATTTTTTCTTTTGAGTAGTTCCATATGAGCGTTCTCCTATTTAGAACAACTTGTTCAGAACCATTGTTGTTTCTCACGAAGATGACTCTTCCTCCCTGGGGTCTGTGATACAATTTGAAAACTGGGAATAAACTGGCAGCGTTGTTTTGCTTTGTTTTCCTTTGCAAACCCCAAGCCCTTTACACATTACCACAAAGAGAAGGGAAAAAGGGAGGGAGGAAACCTTCCCTTCTTCCCAGCTGCCCTTCTCTGGGAGCGGGATTGTGTGAGGATGGGAAGCCCGTCCGCACCCTCTTTTGTTGGTATACTTTGGATCCTAATTGCTCGCGCTCTTGTTTATCCCTCTGGAAAAACTGTAGCTCAGTAGCTCCTCTTGAAGTGGATGGAGTGGACTCTGGAACCATCTGTCAGGATACCCCATCACAGTTGTTTTGTTTTTTAAAATCAGCTGCTTTGCAGAAGGATGGGGCAGCTGAGGCAGGGCGGGTCTGTGGTGGAAAGCACCCAAGTGCGCTTGACTTAGAATTGTGGACTCCCTGCACCTCACCTGGGAGGGCCCTTAGAGATTGTCTCGTCCAAACCTCTCCAAAGCAGAAGAGAAATCCTCTAAGTTCCACTTGGACACATTCAGTGACAGCAGCACACCGCCCCCGCCCACCTCTGCACTCAATCTCCTCACTTCCCTTCTTGTTCACTGTGCTCCAGCCAACCCCCTTGACCCTCAGACACACGGAGCACATTCCCGCCTCCTTGCTCTTCCCTCTTCCCAAAGCTCTTCCCTCAGGTCTTGCATCACTGTGGCTGGAATGTCAAGGCCATCCCTGGTCACCTTATCCAAGCGGCCAGCTTCCCCCTCCTCACTGCTGCTCCCCACTCTCCTACCCCTGCACCTGTCACTCTCTACACTGCCACTGGGGTCTGTTTTCTTCACAGTCCTTACCACCTTATGCAGTTTTTTATTTATTTGCCTGTGTCTATTTTCCCCAAAGTCGATACAGCCTGTCAGCTCCTGGGGAGTTTTGTCTTGCTCACCACTGTATTCACAAGCCCAGCTCATGGTAAGTAGTGGTTGGCTGACTGATTGAAAATGCCCTATATTCTGACAGCTGCACTCAATTAAAAGTTTATACATAGATCTGAAGTCTGCTTCCCTATCACCTGCTCTAGGGGGACGAGGAGAATGAGAACAAAGCCCTGTGCTCTTCATATTTCAATGCTTAACACAAAGCTCTGGATTTCATGGAGGTGACTGGCGTCAGGGGAGTAGAGGGAGAGGGAACCACAAAGGTCTGCTTCACTTTTCTCACCGCTGCACCATTCTCATTTCACATCAGCCCAGCCCAGCAGGAGCACAGGGCTGGACTCGGGCAGATAGCCGGCCTTGCCACCTGGAGCCTGTGTGAGCATGGACACATGACTGAACCTCTCTGACCCTCAGTCCAGACCACTTCTATTGAAAAATCATTTTTAAGTGTATTAAATATGAAAACTCACAGCTTGAAACAGGAAAACTGTAACTTATTTTTAATAGCA